CCATAAACTTAAGGTTCGGTTCTAATTTTTCATTTTCTAAAACCGAAACTGATGGTTCCGATTTGAAACCGTGAAAAACATATTTTAAAAAAGCTTTCTAATTTTTTTTTTGTTTTATTGTAATTTTTTAAATTAATTTTTAAGAATTTTTATTAAATTGATTTAGTTTTTTTCAATGGTAATATTTATTATTATTTTTTGTTTAAGCTACAAATTATAACAAATATTTTAAAAATTTTAAAATATATTATTTAATTTTAGTTCAAAAATTGAAATAGGTGGTTCCAAAATTGTCTTAGAAACGTTTAAAAGCGGTTCAGTTTCAATTTTACATTTTTTATACTTAGAACTAGCGATTTTGAAACTGCCTACAGACAAAAAAAAAAATTTATACAATCATTTCCTATTTTTTTTACCTGTTATTTATACTCATTTCTATTTTTTATATTAAATATTGAGTATTTTTTTTGTCATATATTATTTAAAGTTTTATAATGTTAAAACAACATTTCATATGATATTAATGTGAATATAATGGCTAGCGTGTATATACACATATATTTGTTCAATTTATATCGTGATTTATTTAAAATTTATAATAGCTATATATGCATAATTCTATAATATCACCTAACAACAAACATTTCAGTGTGTATATATATATATATAACAATAAAATATTATAAAATATATATATATTTTTAAATATATATTTTTAAAATTAAAATTTTCAATACTATTCGTCATCCTACACACATGTATTTATTTTATTTAAAAATGAATTTTGGAAGGCTTAGTTATGTATATTCTATTTGAAAATTTATTTTTTGAAAATATATCGAATCAAATCATATAAATATAAAAAAAAACAAACATATACACACACTTTTGTTCAATTTATATCGTGATTTATCTAAAATTTATTATAGTTATACATTCACAATTTTATGTTATCAACTAACAATAAACGTTTTAGTGTATATATACATATATATAACAATAAGATATTATATATATTTTTAAAATTAAATTTTCAATTGTTCGTCATTCTACACACATATGTTCATTTTGTTTAAAATAAATTTTGAAATGCTTAATTATATATATTTATTTGAAAATTTATTAAAAGTATATCCAATTAAATCATATAAACATAAAGAAAAAATATTAATAAAAAGAAAATACTTTTTCTTTTTTATCTCTCTCCTAAATAAAATATTATGTATATTCTATTTAAAAATTATTTTTAAGAAATATATCCAATCACGTTATACAAATATAAAGAAAAAAAATTAAATATTAAATTAATAAAAAATAATATTTTTTTCTTTTTTTATCTCTTCCTAAATAAAATTATATGTATTATTCCTTTTTGAAAATTTAATTTTTAAAAAATATATCCAATCAAAATATAAATAAAAGAAAAAATATTAATAAAAAGAATATACTTTTTTCTTTTTTTTATCTCTCGTTTATCTCTCGTAAATAAAATATTATAAATTATATTCAAAATAGAATCAAATATGTAAAAATAAAATATAAAAATATTTAAATGTCTCGGTATCTTATATATTTATTAAAAAAAGAATTTTAAAAAATAAAATTTAAAATTTTGAAACATTTAATTATCTATATGTATTTATTCAAAACATAATTATTATAAATTATATTCATTTAACTAATAAAATTTAAATTTTGATTGTGCCTGCCTAAATTTATTTGAGGATATCCAAATTTCATTAAGGGCATTATTGAAAATCTCATTATCCCCGTATTCCTACTTTTATATATAGTGTAAATTGTTATTATTTGTTAGTACATTGTTAACCTAATTTACGAGTAGCAAGTATTCTTATTAGAATTAAATCCAATGATTTATATAAAAAAAATATTTAAATCCAATGGTTATAAAAACTTGTTTACTGATAAAGAAATTTTCTATTCTTTACTATAGTTTTACCCTTTATTTAATTATCAATTTTTCTTTATAATTTTATTTTATTAATTATGACATTTATTTTTTTATTTTCACTTTGCAGCTAAACAACTTTTCGAAGAAAGCTGAATCGTTACATTTATTAATCCAATGGTTTTTTCAAAAGCAGAAGAGATGGATCATGCAAAGGAACCATTATTTTTATTATTTTTTATAATATTGTATATTATCATTTGTTTACATTTATGAATGTGTAGCTTTGAAGTAAATAATTAAATAAAAATTATGGAGTCTATCTATCTTTTTCTCAATAATTTATCATGCACACAATAACTTTTGAAATTAAGAAAGAAAAAAAAAAATATTACAAATTAAATAACGAGTAATTTCGCAACACACATTGTCAAATATTAGCGCGTATATATTATAATATATATATTATATACATAATATATATATATATATATATATATATATATATATTAATATAATATATATATATATATATATATATATATATATATACACATAGAAATTATATTTTGTCTTTTGTTTTGACATAATAACTACTTTATCCTTTGCATTTAAAAATCACTATATACACATAGGAAAAATTATATTTTTGTCTTTATGTTTTGACATAATTAACTACTTTATCCTTGCATTTAAAAATCACACTAGTTTATCCATGCAGTTTGGATCCGTGAAACAAAATCCTTTCATCCATTATTTGAGATTTAAGTTATTAAGTGCAAGTGAAATTACATGACTAACTCTATATGGATATGAATTAAAATAGAGAAAATCATATTTTTGTCTCTATATTTTGGCCCTATTCAACAACATTATTTAAAGTAGTGTTTAATATTTTGATAGGATTGAAATGCTATCTTAATTAATTATAACGTTTGGTAATACAATATTTACCATAGCGTTTAGAGTTTGAGAAGTGTTTTATGAATCGTGATCTTCATTAACGTTTAACATTTTATAATTTTCTTATGACAACTATACTCATTACTTGTCCTTACCTTGTTCTTTGCTTTCATACCTTTTTTTGTCATTTTATATTAAACGGCTAATCAAACAGTTATTTGTATCAAACACTTTTATTCTAAACCGATATATGACCGTTAACCACTACTAGCTAATATTTAACAGCTAATCACTAATAAGACAGCTGACCACTATTAAAACAGCTAACAGTTACTAGAACATCTAATTTACCAAATAGACCCTTTGAGATAATTAACTGTTTTGTCCTTGTATTTAAAAATTGCACTCTTTTATCCCTGTAGTTTAGATCTATTAATGGCTCAAATTTCAAATAATGGATGGAAGGAAAATTTTCTCAATACAAACAAACTATCAAGGATAAAATAATATAATTTTTAAAATACAATAACAAAGTAACTAATTATTCCAAAACGTAGAGACAATAATATACTTTTCGGAAGAAGGTTCGAAATGCTCTTTCAATTTGGGCATGAAATACAATATATCCACTTGCTAACTTACAATTTACCCACTTTTTTTAACAAAAAGCTCAATACCTTAAGCATAAACTTACAAATTACCCACTTTTTAACTTAGGGATGGCAAAATCAACCCCACCTGATGGGTATGCACCCAACCCGAATCCAATCAAACCCGAATTTTAGGGTTTTAACTAGGTTTGGGTAGGAGATGAATAAAACCCGATAGTTTTATTTTGGGTATGGATAGGGTATGAGTATTGCTATTATAAACTCGAAGCCGATCCACCACCCAAAATTCAAACCCTAGAGATTTAAAATTTTATTATTTTTTAAAATTATAGTATGAAGGTTTTAATAAATTGAATTACTTGTAATAAATTATCTATATAAATTATAATTTTACTTTTAATTTAATATCGTCTAGTGCAAAATAATTTCACTCTAATTTTCATATATTAATTTGAATTGATCAAATTTTTAAATTTTTAGATTTTTTGAAATTTAAAATTTAATTTCTAATATTTTGATTTAAACTTCAATTTTAAATAATGGAGAAAAATCATAATGATAATAGTGACTTAGAGTTTTTTTTTTTTGAAAGGTGATTTAGAGTGTTCATATAATAATATTTTAGGTTTAATATTTTTATTATATGATGTTTTTAGTTATTCTATTAATTGATTTTTATTATAATTACACACGAAGAGTCTGCTACTGTTACATTTGAGTGAAGTATTATAATAAAAGGAATAAATTTGAAAATAAAATTTTAATTTATAATTGTTACAACATTTATGTACATATTAATTTATTTTCACATTATTTCTTCCTATATTTATGTCTCTCTTTCTACATCTCTTTTCTATTGCATTAAAGATTTTCTTGTTTTCTCCTTAATTCATCATCTGCAAAATAAATCCATTTCCGATCTACAACCATTTGAGTCCAATTTCATTCTCCATTTGATTTCCAAGCAACCGAAAAAAAATTGAAGAAAATGTTCTATAAATTCTTGCTTGAATTCTTTAGGTTAAAAAAAAGCCTAAATCCTAAAATTAATGCTGAGATTAAAAAAATCCTTGAAACTAGATCGCGCCCTGCTCAAAGCCAAACCCAAAGAACCAACGAGATAAAAAAAAAAAAAATGCAACTTCCAATAAATAAATAAAAATGAAAATTAGAAAGGACAACAAATAGATTCGTAGAAATTAAAAACTGAGCTCTGTTTAATAGGTTATGAGCAAGCTCTGAGACTCTAGAGAAAGAAAGATGTCCAAAAGCGATCAAACGGAAACAAAAAAAAAAGGGAAAATTGTATTTTTTATGTTATTTTGCTGTTTTAATTAATTAATTAAATCGATTTTCTATTTTTTTATTTTAAAGAATATAAAATTTGAAAAGGATATATAAAACAATGAGAGTGAGAAAAGAGGCGTGATTTGTTTATTATCATCCTTTTACAGGTATAAGCATTTTCTTTTAAATCAATATTAATTTAAAGAGTTGAACGTGTGTTTTACACGCTAAAAAATGAGTAATTTGTAAATAAAGTAAAAAATGAGTAACTTATAAATATATGGTCAAAGTAAAAAATGAGTATTTTGTTAAAAAAGTGGAATGTGGGTAAATTGTAAGCTCCAAATTTAGGGGCATTTTGAGCTTCCTTCCAATATTTTTCCTATATATGTAAAATCTAAATTGTTACCCTTTCAACAGGTAGCCGGTTATAAGTGGAGTGGAACTCGCGTCATTTGTAACTTCTTCTATGTGACGGTCTCATAGCCCGTTTCCAGTTTCATTCCTCGTTCAACATTGTCAATCTACAATCATCTTCTCGTTGTCAATCAGAGTCAGGTTTCTCTAACGCCAGGTTCAATCGGCCATTACCTGCTTGATCTCGCAACGTTAGTTTCTCAATCTCTTTCGCAAATTTCTTATTCCTGATGTATATATTTTCAGTCAGTTTATATGCTTTTAGATCTAGGGCTAGACTTCATAATCCGTTTCTTGCTATGCTGGTTGAGGTTTGTGATATTTCTTATCTGATTTCGCGCCGTATGGTCTTTATCTGTTGGTGTATGGTGATTTCGTTGACGTGCCCTTTCGTATGTTTGTAATTCTCTGTTTCGAGTGGGTTTAAGAATCGAATATGGTTGTTTTTTGAACAGAGAATAGAACATGATTGGTCGATGAATTTTCATTTTTTTTAGATTCCATCGTTAAACATGATATATGTTACTTTAATGACATGTGTAGATAACTGAAGTTGATAAAGCTTGAATCTTTTTTAATTTCGTTCAGTTATATCTTCTAATATATTAGCTGCTACCATTTTAGTGATAACCAATAATGATTTATGAAATTGAGCTGCAGTTGATGGGTGGTTCTTACTGATCAATTACCATTTAAAGTGAAAGTGGAGTAAAGGTTTGTTAGATTAGTAGAGTGAAGAATATGGAGACTTGTAGAATTATAGGATTTGTATTCACACGATATAGAAAGCTATTGTGAATGTAAGTATAAAAATCTTCCATGGTATTTAGTGAGGGTACACTAGTATTTAGTGGTGAAATCTTTTCTTTTCAAAAAAAAAAAAAAAAAATGTAGCTTTTGCAGTGAAGAGAAAATTGACTGTTTTGTGACTAGTCATTTTTCTTTTGGACATGTACTAATTCTCTTGTTTTGCATAATATGTTTCTAACACAAGTTGATTTTTCATTGAATCAAGAAGTTCTAATCATGCAATGGTCCAGAGCTCCTTGGTCAGATGATCTGTTTGCTCTCCTAATTATCTAATCAATAGTGATCCTGTAAAGCTTTGGTGATCTAGTTATTAAAACTTGTTATTGCTGTAGTTTTATTAGGTGACAAAAAGAGGGAATTGTTGATGAGATTTGATCTGGTCTCTTTCTCCTGTCTGTTTCTCAAGCAAGCACAATTTTCAGTATCATATATTGTTCATTGCCCACAGCCTCACCTCAAACCACCAAAACCAGAAAAAAGAAATGAAGAAAGAAAGAAAGAAAAGAACAGTACTCTCCACTCTTTCTCCCCCCAAAAAAGAAGGTCCTACCTGAACATATTGGAATTGAGTAAATTTATGAGATAATATAAGGGTGCTAACTGAAATATTGGAGTTAAGGAATAAATTTATGAGATCTAATTGCATGAGATAATATAAAGGTGCTGCCTGTTTCTCTTTTCATCTTCTGTGGAATTATGTAGACTTTATGCTGGATTAATTGGGCACGTGGACTGCATTTTCAAATGAAACGTATAAATGGTCTGGTGAGTTGGAGTGTTGCATCATAAACAAGTTCTTGCACTGGGTTTTAAGGTCTTTTTGATGTGTTTGATAGTTCGTTGTTCTTTCTGAATTCCGATTGGTTCCCTTTGGTGTGTATTGGGGAGTGCCATGGGGATCCTTCCTGCTGTAGTTTTTGGGATTTGATTTGTTAGTTTGGTTCCCATTGCTTGATGATGCTATGTTTTCTATTTTTGGTTATCTGTATTGGTACCTGTTTCTGCCACATGGCATGTATATCTGCCCTATATCTCTTTCATTATGTTAGTGCATATGCTTTTTTTTCGTGTGTAATGATCTTATCTAATTCAGTAAAAGAACATGGCAGAAATTTGTTCATGCTAGGGTTGCCTTTCTTACATTTTAACTCCAATGCAGGATGTCAGAACAACCTTTTAGACCCCGAGAGCTTCTCCTTGAGAAGCAAAAATATTTCCAAAACATCCATAGGCACACATATCTGAAAGGACCTTATGACAAGATCACTTCTGTCGCCATTCCTTTAGCTTTGGCAGCCAGTTCATTGTATCTTATTGTGAGTTTATTTTACATTATAAACTCCCAATGATTTTCAATCTCTGCCATTGTAGATAGATAACCGTCATGTGTCCTTTGTTTAACTTCCTTACACGATTCATTTTCAGGGTCGGGGAATTTACAATATGTCCCATGGGATAGGAAAGAAGGAATGAGGAGGCTGATGGGCTACATGTTTTCTGTTTTCTGCTTATATTTTAAAGGACGTTGTTTGTTTTCTGCTACATTTTACAGGCTACTAAGTTTTTTTTGTTTAGTGCCTCCAATAATTGCGTAGTTGCAGACACGTAGCTACCAATGGAAGCTGACACTGCAATGTCGATGGTTGCATTTTCTGAATCGTTAATAATTCATCTTTGAAGATTAAATGTGTCAGTTTTTTCTCATTGATAAACTATGCGAGACAAGTCTTTTGTTTTCTCTACTTTGTGTGCCTATAAAGTGTCAATTTCTTGGCTTGAAGGCATGGAAATACGAGTATAACTAAGCTTTTCTCTTGATTTTCACATCTTCAAGAAAACAAGTAGGACAAGAAAAGCTAAATTATATTTGTGTCTGTTTGATGATTTTTTTAATTTGGTACATTATGTTTCGATGATTTATAATGATAAATTAAAAAATATATATATATGAGGGAGGGGCCGATCTACTAGACAAAAAAAGAACCATAATAATAACTTTATAACCAAGCGAGTAGCCTAGCTCCCAGTAGTTCCCAAATAGGGATGGTATTTTATTTGGTGTTTTGGTGTGTTGTTTTGGTATCAGATCGGAAAATAATATTAAAAATAATATCAATTGAGAGTTGGAATTTTTTAAAATTAGCAATTAGGTATCCCGAGCTGACGGATCACTGGAAATGTAAATTGGGATGATAGAAAGCCACATCATCCTCACAAGTCGGTTTCTTTTTCTTTCCCTTCCTCTTTCTCTTATCACCCTTATCACTCATCAAAACACCACTACCACCACCTTCTTTAACACCACCATAATCGGCATCTTTTCTCAAAAAATTGCAATGTTCTCAGAAAATTGATTTGCAAATTCATTTTATCTACTCTACATAATGACATCACAACAACACAACAAGGAAATAATAGACCATATGACTAAATACAATCTTGCTTGATAATAATAATAGACCATCTCGCACTCTTAGAACAATCCCGATGTAGTCGAAAGGCCATAGGTTTCTCATTAGAAGATTACAAGTGTATATATATATATATATATAAAATTGAAAACCAACAGCTACCGTTAGCCAAATTCTGCACCGGTCACTGGAGCCCGTGCAAGGAGGCGATGCACATTGAGATAGGCCCAATGCACTGCTCGCCGCCTGCGGCTCACGGAGCTTGGCGGTCCAACTACAACCATGGCAGACTGTATTCTTTGACTATTTCAAATCTTTTTCAATTTTTTGCATTTAATTAAATCATTTTTTAATTGAAATTAGCCCATAAAAATTTTATAAAATAATCAAAGTAATTTTGAAAAATTTGTAGCAGTATTAATATTAGTTTTTGTCAAAATATCAAATTTTCAGCACATGAATTAATTTGAAATTAATCCAGTAATTAATATATTGTTTTTACACCTTAAGGGATAGGAATGAAAGTGGTACGAATATTTGGGATACCCGCTTCGATCTGCTTAAAGAGGATATGAGTAGGGATGAAATAAGACATAAATAGTTATAAATGAGTTTGAGATAGGTACGGATAATAAAATTACTATCTGTAATGGATACGACTAGAGTACAAGTATAGATCTTTGGATACCCGCTATCCGCTATTGGATATCCACGAGTATCTTATCTACTATTAATAAAAATTATATTTTAAATAAGTTCGGATTTGAATAGTTAAAATTTGTGAATACTCTACTTGTGTGAGGGTATTTTAAACGGATTTTAGAAAGTACAGATAGTAAAAATTTAAACGGGTTGGATGCGGGTGCTTGAATGGATATCTAAACGGGTTTTAAATAGATACGAGTAGCTTAAATTTTGCGGGTACTCGCCCACTTCCATCCCTAGATATAAGTTGTTATAAATAAGTTAGGAATTAATATGGATAGTGAAATTACTATCATAACAGATGTAGATAGTGTCCCATAATAGATACAGGTAGGTAGGTACGTGTGTAGATCTTTGGATACCAACTAACTATTAATCACTATATTAAATGGATTCGGTAGTAGATACCCACGAGATATTCATTATTAGTAAAAAAAGTATTTTAAATAGGTTCGAATTTGAATAGTTTAAGATTCGTGAGTACCCAACTCATTTAAGAGGTTCTTTAAACGAGTTTTGGATGGATACGAGTAATAAAAATTTAAACGAATTTAAATACGGATACTTAAATGAGTATTTGAATGAGTTTAAAATGGATATGTTTAAATCGATACCGTAGTGGGTACCCCATTTCATCGCTTTACAGGGGGTATATTGAATTAAGATTCTGTTAGATTTTAAAAAATTTTGAAATATTTGAGTTGGAAGATGAATTTGTAAATGGATCCTTCTAAATCAGCAATTTGTTGAATACCATGAAATTTCGATTTTTTAAAAGTCATAATTAAATACCATACCGTGAAATTTTAATGGACTCCAAAAAAAAAAAAGTCTTACTATCTAATTATCAGAATCTTAATCTAATACACTCTAATTAATAAGGATTTAATTCTAATAAATTTAATAGCTAAACTATGAATTTTACCGATATTTTTAAATAAAATACAATTACTCAAAGAAAATTCAACCAACAAAATTAATTATAGTTAGTAAATTTTTTTCTTTTGAAATTGGAGAGGAGATTTAAACCAGATTTTTTTTAGATTATATATATACTTATCACTGTACCGTATCTTTAACGTGCATAATAGTTAGTAAATTAAATTTATAGTAATGAGGAAAATTTATTTGTTTATTAAAATCTCGTGTAGCTTGTAGTTTTCAAGTTTCAACCAAAAAGGCTGTTGCCTATTCTGGTTTTACATTATCATCAGTCTCCATTCCTCGTCTCCTTACCTCTATTCTCTAACAAAGCGACACGAATTCAATTACTACTCTCTTTCTCTTAATCGCTCTGTTTCCAATTCACACCATCTTAATTGTTCTGGAAATTGCATCCGAGTGTAGTTCAATCACTAAACCCTAATCTGTACGGAAATTTTGTCAATACTATGCCTAAAGTGAGGACAAATCGGGTCAAATATCCAGATGGATGGGAATTGATTGAGCCTACCCTTCGCGAGTTAGATGCCAAAATGAGGGAAGGTTTGGTCTCCTTCCTTTTTCGCACTCTGGTTTTTAATTGATGGAGGTGGTTTTGAATTTGTTAATCTTTTGCTTTTAATTTTTGTTTCCGTAGCTGAAAATGATCCACATGATGGTAAGAGAAAATGTGAAGCTTTATGGCCTATTTTCAAAATTGCCCATCAAAGGAGCCGATACATTTTCGACCTTTATTATAAAAGGAATGAAATTTCTAAAGAGCTTTATGAGTTCTGCTTGGAGCAAGGGTATGGTGATCAGAACCTCATTGCAAAATGGAAAAAGGTTTTCTTCTTCTTCTTCTTCTCTCTCTCTCTTCTAAATTTTGAAGTGATATATTTTGTTGTGCCATTGTCATTTCTCCTTTCACCACCAAGTCAGAATATCTTTGATGTAGACTATTTTAGTTTTATACCGTCAAAATGGATTAGGTGGTTAGATGGTTAGTTCCATGAACATACTAATCTTTTTTGCATCTTGTTGTTCCTAACCAGCCACTCATTTTTGGCTCAATCAGTTGTTATTATTATGGTGATATTTATTTTGTGAAATTTTGATTAGCTTGACCATTTGTCATTTTCCTTCTAGCCAGAATGACTAATCGACCAATCTTGGGGCAAATGATATTTCTTCGTTCCGTTTATTTATTTCTGTTTTACTCTTTTATGTAGGAAACAAGTCTCAGTTTTTCACTTCAAACTGAAGTTTTGAATTCAATGATGATATTGGATTGTTTGAAATTGCTTTTGCTTTGCGGATTTTGTGAATTTGGTAGTGGATAGAAGCAGAGCATGTTTGGTTTCTGTGACTTTATAATAATTTTTCATTATCTGTTTGTCTGAATTGCAGCCAGGATATGAGCGACTCTGCTGCCTACGCTGCATACAGTCAAGGGATCACAACTATGGCACAACTTGTGTATGCAGGGTTCCCAAGAATCTAAGAGAGGAGAAGGTTGTTGAGTGCGTTCATTGTGGCTGTGGGGGCTGTGCAAGTGGGGATTGATAGTTTAGAATCCTCTGTTTACATTACAAGTTTGCTCTTATCTTAAACATATGTTGCAGTTGATTTTAGGATATGACTATCATGAATCGTGCTTTGTGTATCACGGCCTAACTATTTGACTGAAACTGAGAATGGATGAAGTCTGGTAGAGTTGACTAAAGTTTTTTTTTGCCTCTTGTCAAACTTTTTCTTCATTAATATTGACCTTAACTCTCGCCATAGTTGGGTATTCTGCAGGCCTGACCAAGTCAGGAATTATGCCCAACTATTAAGTGGACCTAGTGTCCTGTAAATTTATTTGCATTATAGAACGGCTACTTGAGGGATACTTTAACTACAGGAGGTTATGCTTGATTCACATTATTTGACCTCTATTTGTTTGAAAAAAAAAAATCTCTTGAACAGTTCGGCTTTCAATGTGATGTTTATATGCTTTATTGGTTCTCTACACCTCAGTATTACTGTTTTGAGTGTGGTTTGTTTAGTACAATACAGTATATCTACAAATTTTTGTCCTCTGGTTACTCAAGTTTTGGACAAGGTCAAACCTTCTTTTTCTGATAAATTCTGGGATGGGGATAGATTATGATTGGCTTTTAGGAATATGATATGGTTTGGGCATAGATTATGGTTGGAAATTAATTGGCTTTTAGGAGTATGAAGTTGAACTAGGGTTTGGCTAACTTATCTTGCTTACTTCAAACTGAGACAATGACAGCAGTCAGCAGTTAAGGAATATTACCTGCATCTTGGAAGATTTCTTTTGATTGTATAACTAAGCGCTTGCCTAAAAATAATTACTTTGGAGGTAAAATTCAAGACTTCTATCAGCCAGTAAGAATTATTTTAGATCGTGTCAACCAAAATCTATTTTGTTAGGTCAAAATTATATTACATTACAATCCATGTAGTTTGTAAATTACAATTAATCCGATCCTGTTTTTTAAAAAATAGATTAAAATTTTCTTATAGTTTACTTCCGTTAGATTATAAGGTCCTTCTGTCTAATATTTGCACATTTTCTGTTAAGTACTTTATGAAACGATGAAAATACTTATTTTATTTTAAAAAACACAAGGAATGACTAATTGTGTTTTTCAAATCATAGAGATCGCACTGTAATTTTCTCTTATTTGATCTTTGTATTTTTTTTTTGTTAACTTTACGGCAAATATGCAAAAATTAGATCGAAGGATCTAATAGTATAACGGAAGTAACATATAGGAAAAAATTAATATATCTTATTTGATCTTTGTGTTTTTTTTGTTAACTTTACAGCAAATATACAAAAATTAGATTGAAGGATCTAATAGTATAACGAAAGTAACATATAGGAAAAAATTAATATATTTTTAAAAAAATAAAGACAGATTATTTGTATTTCGTAAAGTATAGGGATCATAGAGTAAGTTTTTCTTATAAGTATAACAATGGTTTGGTGGACTTGCATTAGAAAATTAAATGGGAAAAAGTTTGAGTCCAAGTCAAAAAAAAAAAAAAAAGGTTATTTCTCCAAAATATGGCCCATCCAAAAGGTAGCCCATACATTTTTCGTGACACCTTTCTGGTATAAAAGGGAAATGAAATTTCCTAGCCAAGAGCTTATGTGAGATTCTGCTATGGACAATGACAAGCAAATTATGGTGATCAGAACCTCATTCAAAATGGAAAAAAGGTTTTTCTTTCTTACTTTCTTACTTACGTATCCTCTCGTCTCTTCTAAATGTCAAAGTGAGGACCTAACTTCAATTTAGTTACTCCGCACATTTATACACCGTCTCAACCACAAACGATACAGAAGTATCTTATGATGTAGACATATCTATCACCACAAAAATATATTACCTGCACGAACAATGGATAGTATCGGCTTTACCATATGGTATGAAGTCACCAATCCGCAAGACAACAAATAGAAAACAAATAAACCTATATTAATCTGCATCTTGTGTCACCACTCTATATACCAAGCCACTACATATATCTTGTCTCAAAATCAGTATAGTTCTCGTATAAATAATAGAGATAATAATCAAATTTATAATTTAAGATTAGGTGATATGAGAAACCAATTGATCATTTCCTACATAGCCAGAATTATGCACTAATCGAACACAATTCTTGGAACACGCAAATGACTTTAAATTATCTAATCGTTCCGTTTCTAATTTTATATATCTTAAGAGTTATTACTCTTTTATGTAGGAATACATATTGTCTTCACAGTTTTCACTTCAAAACTGAAAGTTTTGATACTTTTCAAACCTAAATATAGATAGATATAAATGGATTTGTATTTGAATTGCGTGTTGAGCTATACTGATTTGATATAGATAAATATAAAAAAATACAAAACATTACCAATACACATTGGATAGAAGCAAGAGAATAGTGGTTTCCAGTGACTTAATTTAATAATATTTGCATATCTCTCTCTCTAAAAATGGCTGAAATCATGCAAGCAAACACAGTACGCATGATAGAAAGGAACCTTCTGCTCTGTCCCATACGTTCCTTGAGCAATAATCACAGCAAGAGATCTACAACTAGTGAAGCAACAAAAGAGTGTAAATGCAGGGTTCCACACAAGAATTCTAAGAGAGTAGAGAAAGGCTAATATAGTAATAGATGTGAGCATTAACCATTCGAGAGCTGAATGGGGGGCTTGTGAGCAATAGGGTGGGGGATTGTGATAGTTTAGAATTCCTCTGTTACATTACAAGTTTGCTTCTTATCTTAAACATATGTTGCAGTTGATTTTTAGGACTCCTGACATACATTGAATCAGCTGGCATTATGTGAATATCCACCACCTTAACTATTTGACTTGGAAAACTGAGAATGGCCAGAGATGGATAGCTCTGTTTAGGTCAGGAGTGACTGAAAAAGAAAGATTTTTTTTTAATGGCACGTCTTCAACAACTTTTTCCTATTCAATTAATATTGACACTAACCTCTTACGTCCACTAAGTTGGTATTTCTGCAGGCCTTGAACAAAGATCACAATTAGAGCATAATTATCAATGAGCCACAAATCATTAAAGGGAGACCTAATGATCCTGATTAAATTTATATTCATATATAAACACACAGGATGAAGAGGATTACTTTAACTTATACCAGTGACGGAGTACTATACATGAATATCACAAGACTCTTCCTATTTGTGGTGTTTGATAATAAAAAGAACACTCTCAATAACCCAAATGGCAACAGTCTCGAGCTTTTCAATGTGATGTTTATATTGCTTTATTGGTTCTCTACACCTCTAGAATATTTACTGTTTATAAATGGTGATTGTCGTTTGATTTAGTAAAAACAACTACAGTTATAATCTACAATTTTGTCCTCTGTTACTTCAAGTTTGGACCAAGGTCCAAACACTTCTTTTTCTTATAAATTCTGGACGTGGATAGATTATGATTGGCATTTTAGGAATTATGATATGGTTTTGGGCATAGATTATGGTTGGAAATTATATAATTGGCTTTTAGGAGTATGGAAGTTGCAACTTAGGGTTTGGCTAACTTATATCTTGCGTTACTTCAAAACTGAGACAAGACAGCAGTCAGCAGTTAAGAGAATAGTTTACCTGCATCTTGGAGATTTCTTTTGAATTGTATAAACTAAGCGCTTGCCCTAAAATAAATACTTTGGGAAGGTACAATTCAAGACTTTATCTCATCAGCCAGTTTAAAGCATGTCATTTTACCTGATCAACGGTGATACAAAAAACCCAAATACCTATTTGAGGTCAAAAATTTACATATATAACATTACCTAAATTTCCAATAGATTGTAAATTAACAATTAATCCGATATCTATAGAGTATATTTATGTTAAAAAAAAAATTAGTATTAAGGAATTTTGCTACTATAGTTTACTTCCGTTAGATATATTAAGGTCCTTTCTGCTCTTAATATTTGCCACATTTTTTTCTGTTAAGTACTTTTATGAAACGATGGAATAATATACTTATTGATTATTTAAAAAAACACACAATTAGTGCGCGAATTCACTAAACTTTGTTTCAAAATCAAATACAGATTCGCACTGTAATTTGCACATACTATATCATACTTTGTAATTTTTTGTTAACTTTACCCGGCAAATAATGGCAAAAATTTATGATACCGAAGGAAACAACGTCTAATCATAGACTCAAACAAACTGGAAAAAAACTAAACGAATAAAAAAAAAATTAATATATTCTTATTTGACTCTTTGTGTTTTTTTTGTATAAATCAAATATTAAACATTCACAATTATTTAACACAAGAAGATAAGATGGAAGCAAAGCCTAAACTAATACATAATAAGCGTAAAAATGTTAAATACCAAGTTATATAAGTTATAAAACTCGAAAACACCGAGTGAAAGAAAACATATATATAAAAAAAGTAATTATATTATATATAAAAATAATATAGAAGACAGAAAAATATTTGTATTCGTAAAAATAAAGGAAATCAAATAGAGTAGAGTTTCGGTTATTAAGATATTAGAACAAATGCTATGGATAGGAAAATCAAAAGTTCAAATATAGAGAAAATTAAAATGAGAGTGGTATCAAAAAGTGAGTTTCTGAGGTCCGAATGTTCAAAATATAAAAAAAAATAAAGTTGTTAAGTTACATAAAAAAGTGACACAAATAGAAAAAGTGCAACAAAAAAACCAAAAATTCAAAAAAAGTAGAGACAAAACAATTACATATACAAGTATACAGGTTACGATTCGTAAAATGAGAATAAAAATTCAAAAAAAAAAAAAAAAGGTTGTATAAGTGGACAATGAAAGCACTAACCAAATAAAAAAGACCATCATGCAATCAGTCGGTTCGGTTCTAAAATTGAAAATTGAACCACACCTTTTTTTTTTTTTGACCCGAATTGAAAGAGAACTACATAAAGAATTCGGTTGGTTAAGCAGACCAAAAATTAAAAAATGAAGTTGCTTAAAATCATAAATTAAACCAAAGGGATCAATTTAAATATGAAATATTAAATTAGATTGGTTAACTTCAATATTTTGATTTTAACCATTATGTGCTTACCCCATTAAAACTTATTTTCTTTTTCTGGTGGGTTTTATGATGGGGTTCTAACTCCCAACTTTGGGTAGTCCATTAGATTGTTGACATTTATGCAATATATATATATATATTTTACTTGCACGAGGTATCCAGCTCGTGTCCGTTTAACTGTTCGTGACTTGGAATATAATGAAAATAAAATAATTATTTACAGCCATTTTTCCCCCTAATTACGAAGGCAAGTCATCGAAGCACTATCATCGATCCACGTTGGTATTGAATATTAATACATACAAAATACGAAAATATGTAATAAAATTTATATATTTATTCTGTATATAATATTGGTAGACTTTATTTATATTCTTCATTTATGAAAAAACAAAGAGCAATGAGTTTTTTAAAGTATAACTACAGAGGTGAACAAATAAATATAAAAATATAAAACTTTTTTCTTTTTTTTCAATTTCTATTATTATATTTTAACTACATAGCTAAATATATTCTTAGAAATAAATAAAATGTTCATTCTTATATTGGCCATACAAAAGATTTTCTAGTCTTTGTTGTCTTCTCCTTCTTTTTTTTTTTTTTTTTTTTTTTTTTTTTTTTTTTTCTCCTTTCTGTTATTTTTTTTTTTTTTTTTTTTTTTTTTTGTTTTTTTTAATATTTACCATTTTAGGTGCTCTTTTGGAGAAAAAAAAAAAAAAAAAAAGAAAGGGAACATGCAAGAACAGGTTGGTTTTACTTTCATTGTCGACATTGGTTGTTGTGGACTTGTGTTTTTTTTTTTTTTTTTTTTTTTTTTTTTTTTTTAATTATTATCCATTTTAGTGCTCTTTTGGAGAAAAAAAAAAAAAAAAGAAAAGGGAAACATGCAAGAACAGGTTGGTTTTACTTTCATGGTCGACATGGTTGTTGTGGACTTGTGACACTAGCAAAGTCTTTAGTTCTTCTTCAAAGTCTATCTCTCTATATATAATATAAGTCTGCTCAAACTTACCAGAAAAATGGCAAAAAGCGTCTTTAGTCTTTCATTCCATTTTTCTACCAAACCAACTTTGTTAGGCTTTCTCCAATCCAAAGCATAAGAGGCTTACCTTCAACTTTTACACACCCCTTTCAGATTCTTTCCACACCTTTCTCCCTTTCTTTTAAATTATCATTGATTCTAATTCATTTTTTATTCAAAATCTTTAAATCTTTACTACTGCAATCATTTTAATGCTATTATTTAGCTCAATGGTACCGAAGCTATATGCAAGAATGTGAGGTTCCATAGATGCTTGAAGTACTGAAACTAAAAGGTTAAGCTTCTTGCTGGAATCTTGATATTAAGTTGTTGAAAGATGGGGGCAGCCTTGGCGGGAGATGATTTGATAAGGCAAATGAGTAGTAGGACATGGCAGCGGTCCATGAGTATAAAACAAATGTGGAATGAACCTGATGTGTTCCACAAAGACTCACGGTGGTCAGTGGCAGTGGATGATGAGGAGGAGCTCCGGTGGGCGGCCATAGAGAGGTTGCCAACTTATGATAGGCTAAGGAAAGGAATGCTTACTCAGACTATGAGTAATGGCAGAATGGTGCAAAATGAAGTTGACATGAGAAAAATTGGAAGTGAAGATAAGAAGAAATTGATGGATAGTATACTTAAGGTTGTTGAAGAAGATAATGAGAAGTTCTTGAGGAGGCTTAGGAACAGAACTGACAGGTTAGTTTTTGTTTCTCTTGAACCTGTCCATTTGGTGTCTGTTTCTTTTGACTAAGTGCTTAAAGTGCTCTATTCTTGGAAATCTGAAGAACCAGAAAAATTAAACTTTACAGTACAATTTTGTGAGCAATAAAGGTCAGGATTTGGATAAGAAAAGGATATTAACAATTTAGTTTTGTTGGAACAGAGTAGGAATTGAGATTCCAACAATTGAAGTCAGAATTCAGAATTTCTCAGTTGAGGGAGATGCATATGTTGGGACCAGAGCACTTCCAACTCTGCTAAATTCCACTTTGAATGCAATTCAGGTATGATTTTCATTTTCTTTGTGATATCACTTTTTCCATTTCAAAAAAATATGTTGAATTTACACAAGCTTTATGAGAGAAAAGAGAAAGTAGTATGGAGCTAAATTCTAACATCTCTTATATATGAGCACAATTTGTACTGCATGAGAAGGTCTTGGTTTTTTACTCAGTTTATTTGTTGAATGAGAATAGGGAAGTCTTGGAATGATTGGGCTTTCTCCATCAAAGAAAAGGACATTCAAGATACTACAAGATGTTAATGGAATAATAAGACCATCAAGGTACGTTCAAGGATTAACACAGAAAAATGGTACTGGAGTTGTTTCCAAGATTAAAAGGTCTTGAGTTTGAAAGCCAAATTAATAATTAAAAATGAAATTTAAAACAAGCAAGGAATTTTTAGGACTCCTTTCATATATCTCATGCATTGTTGATCACTTTCAGGATGACATTGCTGCTCGGGCCTCCTAGCTCAGGAAAAACAACATTACTAAAAGCACTTGCAGGAAAACTTGATGTTGATCTAAGGGTTTGTTTATCTCCCCGTATTCTAAGTATTTTTATAAGTTACAAATTTTTTTGAGATTTTTATTTCATGTATTTTTGATTGGGCAATCAACAGGTAACAGGGAAAGTCACCTACTGTGGTCATGAACTTTCAGAATTTGTACCTCAAAGAACCTGTGCTTACATTGGCCAGCGTGACCTTCACTATGGTGAAATGACTGTTCGTGAGACACTTGATTTCTCGGGCCGTTGCTTGGGAGTAGGAACCAGGTATGACCTGCTGTCGGAGCTATCAAGAAGGGAAAAAGACGCAGGTATCAAGCCAGATCCTGAAATTGATGCGTTCATGAAAGCCACTTCTGTGCCTGGCCAAGAGACCAGTTTGATTACAGACTATGTTCTAAAGGTTTGTTTAATTTATTTCACATATGTTTCTTTATTCACTCCTTTGATTATGAGGCTCAATGGTGTGTTTCTCTAAAAAGATACTTGGATTGGATATTTGTGCTGATATCATGGTGGGAGATGACATGAGAAGAGGTATCTCTGGTGGGCAAAAGAAGCGTGTCACAACCGGTACGTGTTAATATGTTAATTGTGGATCAATATTCACTATTTCCAATCAGACTTTCACATTATGATAGAAGCATCTTGTAATGAATGTAGGAGAAATGTTGGTAGGACCAGCAAAAGCATTTTTCATGGATGAAATATCTACAGGGTTGGATAGTTCCACCACTTTCCAAATTGTCAAGTTCATGAGACAAATGGTTCATATAATGGATGTTACTATGGTCATTTCTCTCTTGCAGCCTGCACCTGAGACATTTGATCTCTTCGATGATGTTATTCTACTTTCAGAAGGTCAGATTGTGTATCAAGGTCCTAAGGAGAATATACTTGATTTCTTTCGATATGTGGGCTTTAAATGTCCAGAAAGGAAGGGTATTGCTGACTTCCTGCAAGAAGTAACTTCCAAGAAGGATCAAGAACAGTATTGGTTCAGAAAAAATCAACCTTACAGATACATATCAGTACCAGAGTTTGTTCAAGCCTTCAATTCCTTTCATGTTGGCCAAATGCTCTTGGCAGATCTCAGAGTTCCATTTGATAAATATAGAACCCATCCTGCTGCTTTAGTAAAAGAAAAGTATGGCATTTCCAATTGGGAACTTTTCAAGGCATGCTTTGCAAGGGAAGTGCTGCTAATGAAGCGCAACTCTTTTGTTTTCATATTTAAAACTATCCAGATAACAATCATGGCCACAATTGCATTGACAGTATTCTTAAGAACAGAGATGAAAGCTGGTGAAAGAAGAGATGCAGGGAAATTTTGGGGAGCACTGTTTTTTAGTCTTACTAATGTCATGTTTAATGGGATGGCAGAACTTGCAATGACTATTTTCAGGCTTCCTGTTTTCTACAAGCAGAGGGATTTCTTATTCTATCCAGCATGGGCTTTTGGCTTGCCAATTTGGCTCCTCAGAATTCCCGTCTCACTATTAGAATCTGGGATTTGGATTATCCTCACATATTACACAATTGGCTTTGCCCCTGATGCCAGTAGGTAAGTGGTAATTTATTGGTTTTATAAGGATGCTTAGTACTTTGTGATCTTTGACATTTGGTAATTTGAAAACCATTTTGTTGAAACATGTTCAGATTCTTCAAACAGTTTTTGGCTTTAGTTGGCATACATCAAATGGCCCTCTCCCTTTTCCGTATGATAGCAGCTCTTGGAAGAACTGAAGTAGTTGCAAATACACTTGGTTCCTTTACCTTGCTGTTGGTTTTTGTTCTTGGAGGCTATGTTATTTCAAGAAGTAATAAATCTTTTTCCTTGCCCTTTACTTTAATGAGATTTCATATGGTCCATACCAAACTAAAGCTTAATCCTTTTTGGTTGCAGATGATATTGCATCATGGATGATATGGGGTTACTATATTTCTCCGATGATGTATGGGCAGAATGCCATTGCGATCAATGAGTTTCTTGACAGCAGATGGAGTACTGTAAGTTCAATTCATTGGAAAAAAACCCCTCTTCAATATCACTTTCACTCATATTCTCACCATAAAGGAAAAACATATATTTGTATAAAGTTTGTAACATGAATCTTTCTGTTCACAGCCTACTGGCGACCCTATTGAACCCACAGTTGGAATTTCCCTTCTTAGGGAAAGAGGCCTGTTCACAACTGAAAATGCATTTTGGATTTGTGTTGTGGCACTTTTTGCGTTTTCTCTTCTTTTCAATCTCCTCTTCATCTTGGCATTAACATATTTAAGTCGTAAGTTTACTTATTTGTCTGCTTTGTTGATTCTATGGCAAGGAAATCTGTTTTCTGACCTTTCTGGTTTTCCCCAAAACTTCAGCTTTTGGTGATAATAAGGCTGCAATTATTGATGATGACTCCAACAAAAATTTCAAGCAGCAGCTGGCATCCAATCCAGAAGGTTAGTAGTTGTTACATTTCTGCTTCTTGAGATGTCAACTTGGTTAGTGCACTGACATACACTATAAAATGAAGGAGATGTGCATTTTGTTATTAATAGTAAACTGAAACTTAATTTAATTCCAAGATATGAAATGAAGGAGATGCAGAGAAAGATCTAAGCTAAGACAATTGGAACAATAATTCCTCCTTTTCTATTTTCAGTTTCTTTTTGCACTATCTTAACGGTGGCCATACTTCAAACTCTTGATCTTTTCTAGTGAAAAAGACAAGATAATTCATTTCATTTTTTGTTAACTGCAAAAGATTTGGCTTGTTCATCTTATGTTAACTCCTCAAATTGCAGGAATTAATATGGTAGTGAGAAATGCTCAAAGGGTTATCAACCCAGATGGTAGTATCAAAAAATTGAAAAAGGGAATGGTTTTGCCTTTTCAACCCCTTGCACTTGCTTTTAACCATGTCAACTACTATGTGGATATGCCTGTGGTAAACCGTTTTTCTTTAAGGCTTTTCGTTTCAATTCCAAAGAAGAATAAGATTAGATATTTCTATATATGCACTTGAATTTTCTCATGATAATCTTCTGGATTTCTCAGGAAATGAAGAGTAAAGGGGTTGAAGAGAGCAGATTGCAGCTGCTGCGAGATGTTAGTGGTGCCTTTAGGCCTGGTATTCTAACAGCATTGGTGGGTGTAAGTGGTGCTGGAAAGACCACCCTAATGGATGTCTTAGCGGGAAGGAAGACAGGTGGATACATAGAAGGGAGCATAAGCATTTCTGGTTACCCGAAGAACCAAGCAACATTTGCAAGAGTCGGTGGCTATTGCGAACAGAATGATATCCATTCGCCATACGTTACTGTGTATGAATCTCTCTTGTACTCTGCCTGGCTTCGCCTTGCTGCAGATGTAACTGATGCAAGAAGAAAGGCAAGTTACTTGAACAATTAAATTTATTTTTTGTGAAATTTTAAATCAAAGAGATGTACAACATGGGTAATATATAGAGTTTACTGAACTTCTCTTCTTTTATGTAGATGTTTGTCGAGGAAGTTATGGAGTTGGTAGAACTTACACCCTTAAAGAATGCTTTAGTTGGTCTTCCAGGAGTAGATGGTCTTTCAACTGAGCAGAGGAAGAGGTTGACTATAGCAGTAGAGTTGGTTGCTAATCCATCAATTATCTTTTTGGATGAACCCACATCAGGTCTTGATGCTAGAGCTGCAGCAATTGTTATGCGTACAGTGAGGAATACAGTTGATACAGGACGAACTGTCGTTTGTACAATTCACCAACCAAGCATTGATATCTTTGAAGCTTTTGATGAAGTCTGTTTCAGCTCCAAACATGTTAGCCCTCTATATTTTTCATTTCAATTCTAACAAACATTTATTAATTATGGCAGCTCTTAGTGATGAAACGAGGAGGACAAATGATATATGCTGGACCTATTGGTCGCAATTCTCACAAGCTTGTGGAGTACTTTGAAGTGAGTCTTTCCTTATATTTTTCTGCATTTTGTTTTGCAAATCTGAATTAACTAACAACTATCTTTTTTTGCAGGTTGTTCCAGGAGTTCCCAAGATCAAAGACGGTTACAATCCTGCTACCTGGATGTTAGAAGTGAGCTCTACTGCAGTAGAGGCTCAACTTGATGTTGACTTTGCAGAAATTTATGTTACCTCAGATCTTTATAGGTAACTAATGTGCAAAAATATTATCATTCTCTGATTGTCAATACTATTATTTTGCATATATTTTCTCCTCATTTGTTTCACTCTTTTTCAGGAGAAATCAGGAGCTTATCAAAGAACTTAGCACTCCTCAACCAGGTTCAAGTGATCTATATTTTCCCACCCAATATTCCCAGAGCTTTATAACTCAATGCAAAGCTTGTTTCTGGAAACAACACTTGTCGTATTGGAGGAATTCGAGATATAATGCAATTCGCTTCTTCATGACAATTATGATTGGAATCATGTTTGGTGTCATCTTCTGGAACAAAGGAGGCCATATGTAAGTCTGCGAGTTCTATTTTTCTTTCCACTTTCTGATTATGCTTTTAATTAACTTGCTGTATCTTTACTGTTAACAGAGAAACACAACAGGAACTGACAAATCTGCTTGGAGCTACCTATGCTGCTATTCTCTTCCTTGGAGCTAGCAATGCCTCCGCCGTGCAATCTGTTGTGGCCGTAGAGAGAACAGTCTTCTACCGCGAAAGGGCAGCAGGGATGTATTCAGAGTTGCCTTATGCATTTGCTCAGGTAAGAAATTGGAGATTAATCCTTTCTTAGAACGGTAGATTTTATGGGTCTTGTGGGTTTAGTATTGACCAGAACTTTTGTGCTGCAGGTGGCTATAGAGACAATTTATGTTGCAATTCAAACCTTTATTTATAGTCTTCTTTTATACTCAATGATTGGGTATGAGTGGGAGCTGGACAAATTCTTGTATTTTTACTACTTCATCCTCATGTGTTTCACTTACTTCTCAATGTATGGAATGATGGTTGTTGCCCTAACTCCTGGTCATCAAATTGCTGCAATTGTTATGTCCTTCTTTCTAAGCTTCTGGAATTTGTTCTCCGGTTTCCTCATCCCTAGGCCGGTAAGTCATTTTGAATATAACTCAAAAAATATCAAGTGAAAACTATAACTTTTAGGCTTAAATTAGTTTTTATTATTGCCTCTTACAACAGTTTCTTCATTCATTGCAGCTTATCCCTGTATGGTGGAGATGGTACTATTGGGGTTCTCCGGTAGCTTGGACAATTTACGGCATTTTCGCATCTCAATTTGGCGACAAGAAAGCTCTCCTTAGCATTCCTGAAACACCACCAGTAGCAGTGGATGTATTCCTCAAGAATAGTTTGGGTTATGACCATGATTTCCTTGTACCTGTAGTGCTTGCCCATGTTGGTTGGGTTCTCCTCTTCTTCCTCGTTTTTGCCTATGGTATCAAGTTCCTTAACTTCCAAAGAAGATGAGAACGCTTTGTAGAATCTGAAGATGGGAGAATTATAGTACGGTCCTTTAGTTTTCGAAATACAACTGGTCTGTCTGTGCCTTTTAAAAAAATAGACTAAAATTTCTTTAGTCTACTTTTATCAGACTATGAGTTCCTTCCATCTAATTTTTGCATCCTTTCCGTTAAATACCTTATGAAATGATAAAAATATCCATTTTATTTTAAAAAACACAAGGACAAATTAGTTGTATTTTTCAAATCATAGAGACTATACTGTAATCTTTCCGATATAATATTTTAGTATCTCTCCTTATATTTTTCCTTTGACCCCTGTGTTTTCTTGCTGATTTAATGGAAAAGATACAAAAATTGAACAAACAGACTTAGTAGTGTAACATAAGCAAAATATAAGATAGAGACGGACTAGTTGTATTTCGCAAACCACATGGATCATTCTGTAAGTTTCCCTTTGAAAATTTATAGGCAGAACAACAGAAGGCATAATATTATATATCAAGGAAAAACAGACAAATATCTCTCTCTCTACAATTTTTATTATTCAAGAAAATAGTGCATAATCAATTGTGGGAAAATGCAGAAATTTAGTAAGAGCTTGGCTGTGTAGTATTACAGTTCAGTAACAAAAAGGTCCATTTGGAAAATATTTATTTATTTTTTCACCTCTTTTTCATCATGTAAAATTATTTTTTTATCCTCACACTGTCACACTCACAAATCATATCCTTCTACAGTACTTCTACTACTTTCCACCACATTGTATCTGTATTTTGTCCTGTGTTTATGTCCTTGCCTCGTAACTAATCAGTTTACATCAATAGATTAAGTAATCTAATTTTAAAGGATTCAATAGTTCTTCACACAACAGCTTGAAAACCAAACCATTTCACATACATGGCAAGGTATCTGAGAAAGAAGTTTCTGCTCATTTCATTTCTAAAATAAATTTAAAAAAAAAAAAAAAAAGCAAAATTGATGACAGTTTACGATCATAGGATTGAAGTAGTAAGCTAATTTTTTAAAGGATTCAATAGTTCTTCACACAACCAGCTTGAAAACCAAACCATTTCACATACAATGGCAAGTATCTGAGAAAAAGTTTCTCGTATTTTCATTTCTAAAATAAATTTAAAAAAAAAAAAAAAAAAAGCAAAAAAATTTAAAAAAAAAAAAAAAAAGCAAAATTGATGAGAAAAAGTCAGAAAGATGTATCATCTCATCAGTTAACCTGCTATACACAAACAGATCCTGACTCCCTCCTTGATAAAAGACCAAGGGAAGCACTTTGAAAGGAAAAAACACAACCTTTTGTCTACAAAAGAAAACCAGATCAACTATATCTCTGATTCTATACTGAGCAGAAGCTAAGAAGATAAACTTACCTGTGCAAACTACTTGCTATCTGAAATATAGACAGTATCCAACTTCTCATTTAGTATTGAAAGTGGCATTTGCAATAGCCTCAATCTCCTTCTTGCTCTTCACCACACACCGCTTCTTGATCTCAAAATCAAGCTTATCCAGGTCACTTGCAATGCCCAAATAGCCATATATAACACTTTCTACCTTATCTGCCAGCGTCCTTCGAGTGTCCTCACCATTGTTTTTGCAGCCTTTAGAAATTGTTTGCTCAAACTCAGCCCTCCCGCGTTTCTTCTCACCAAAATGCCCGTGAAGCCTTTCTGCTGCTTGTAACCCAGAAAAAGTGCCACTGAAGCTCACCACCATAGTACTCTGATTTGCAGCCTTCCCACGACAGAGATTGGTCATCCGTTGCTCACATCCCATACCTGCAATTATCATTGCAAAGGAAATACGAGAAGAGAAAACAAGAAAAAAAAAAATGCATCACATAAAAGGAAGATGCTACACAACATAGTCGACAAATGCCTTACAAATTGTTTTTGGGGTCGGCCACAAGACCAAGCTTGCTGTAAAGGGCAGAAGTGCATCAAGTCAATTCTGAAGCAAGCCATTCATGTGAAACCTGCCAAATGACAAGTCCACTGGCTCTGCATAGAAATCCTGAGTACACATTCTCCTTCAAATTCTTATATGAGTGAAAGAATCACAAGAAAACGATTTTCAAGAACAAAAATAGAACATTTCCTTTTATTAATTAGATTATGACAGGGGTTCTAACCCACAAACACAGCTTTTGGGGACAATGTCACTACCATTGATCTCATTGGTACAAACACAGATAACTTAAGAAGACATGAAATTAACCAAATTGGGGAGAATTGGGAAACCATTATGATATCATTACAATGAAGAACAATAAGATCTCAAAAATGACTAATGATTTGAAATCATAAGAGGTGTTGCAAAATTGGAAATAAAGTTTGTCAATTACAAGTAAAACAGCATGACTTTGAAGAAAACATTTTCCTACTTGGACTGTGGGAGAAGATGAAAATGATTTTGTGATCCATCAGTAACGGAGTTTTAGAATCAGGATGTCAATCAGTAACGGAGTTTTAGAATCAGGATGTTATCAGAGTGTTATAAAAGTTTACTTACCTCTAAGAATATCCTTCAGCCCTTCAATACTTACAATCATACGTTCATTTAGATTATGATTTGTTATGGAACTGTTGTGGATGATAACAACTGGAGGCCAGATGATAAGGTCCTCCTTCAATGATGAGGCTTCGGATTCAGGCAATATCTGCCGAACCCATTGACCATTTAGAACTTTTGTGTTTTTCCATCCCATCAACACACAAAGTGCTTTATGAAGACCTAAGTGCTCTGACCTGGATCCAATTTTACAAGACATGAAGGCATGCTGTGCCAGGCTTAATGTGTCCACAAATTCCTTGGAGCCACTAATAAGACATGCATAAAGTTGAACAATCAATGATAAAGATCATTGAAACCAATATGAACAGCAAACACAAATTATAAACATACAAATTATAAAAGCATTACTTAAGCTTAACGAATCATTTATAAATATGTAATGATTCAATACAAATTATACACACATTTATGAGTCACAGATTGAAAAAAATCTTTCCACATAGCAAGAACCTTTATGTAAGCCAGAAGGTACTTTGGCTAGCATATCAAGGTTTAAGATCAAAGGAAAATAGTAAAATGAGAAATAAAGAGAGCTCAAAGACTAATAGTTGTCAAATCGTCAAGGCACCACATCTAGGCAACAAATACAAAACATTCAAACAACCAGAAAGCATGACGCTCTACAGGATTAATTTCTCCCTATGTGTGTGCTGAAAGGCACCTATAACTGCTGTATCTCTTGTCAACCTCCCATGTTAACAATAAAACTGAATGGAGCTTTATTCTAATTATTATTAGGATATGAAGAAATACGGAAATAAGACTCTGTAACCACTACTAAGCATCAACTATGAAACAACTTCTCAAGAAAATTGTTTTCTTTAAAACCTAGATTTCCAAATGAATGTTTAAAACTACTCCATGAAACCCATGTAGTTACAACAATAACTTGTACTGAAAAAAAAAAAAAAAAGCACTACAGGTCGAAATACTATAGGTCTAAATAAAAGAGAAACAACGATGAGCAATGCACAAAAAAGTTTTTTTCCTTTTTCTAACAAATGATTCTTGAAGAATACCATTGTTTAGTATAGGTTCCACATCCAAAAAGTTTCAGGCATAATATACATCTCTTGGTGCCTTTTTATTCAAACAAATAATAGGCACAATAGTCTGATCCACATACTATCATCACACCCTCTATTATTGATGCAACTTTCAACTCTGGTGTCACAAAGCGAATACTTTCACTCGGAATTTCATCCTTTGAATAGTAAAGGAAAGAAAGAAAACAACTGTTATGGTTAAAGTTAGCATTGGCAAATAGAACGTAGATTCAGGACCAATCCTTTCACACTTTAAAATGTCATGGATAAGATTCGTTCCTTTCCAAAATTTATCTCCTCAACACAGTACACTATTCATGATTCCCAAAACCACAAATTGCAACATCCTGCAATTCCCACTACAATGACAATTGTCAGTAGTGATTACTAATTAAACCTTTTCATGGCTCAGAAATGCAAGAGGAAGAAACTTTGTCCCCTTTCATTGTTCATGATTTTTTTGGTTCTTTATTTGTTGTATGACATATTAATTTGACCATAGCAGATATTGGAAACAAAGGATTCATATAGCCAAACCCAACTAGTTTGGGACTAAGGTTAGTTGTGTTGTTGCACTTGTTATATGACATAAATGGTATAATTTGTAACTCTATTGATTATTTAATATTAATATAAGTAAATCAATATGAACCCAAGTCTTCCCCAACACAAACAAATGAAAGTTCCAGAAACTTTTTTGCATTCTATATCTAGCAGTTGACATAAATCTCAAATGCTCACAGAATTAACAACACTAAGGCTGTGTCGGCAATAACTTTTCAAGTAGTTTTTAGCGTTTTCACTGCTCAAAACACTAAAAGCTATTATTTATAGTATTCAGTAACATAACGTTTCCACTAACTTGTAAAGGTTAAGCTAGCGTTTTGTGAAAAGTTAACTCATGTAACGTTTAGCTTTTAGTGTTTTACCTGAAGCTACTAAAACAGCTAACAACTAAATGCTATTAAAATAGCTAACAGCTGCCAAAACAGCTAATTTTGACGAACATACCCTATATCTGTTGTTCAGTCAAAACAAGTATTAAGAACCATTCCTTCACATTGTTCAGTCAAAACAAGTATTAAGAACCATTCCTTCACAAAAACAAGTATTAAGAACCATTCCTTCACAAACCAACTACCAAGATGCATCAAACTATCAACTTATAGAATACTACTTGTTTCAAAATACTAATACTAAGCCTTAATCTCAAACCAGTGTACTACTTGTTTCAAACAATAAAAAGGTTATAATAATAATGATACTTAAGTTTAATTAGAAACTGCAAAAAGAATTGCTTCAGTTTTAGAAATGTAGATGGTAAACCTGCAACAAATGCTGCACTTCAGAGTGCCAGCTCCTCCTTTCTCCAGGTATTTCCTTCTGTTAAATGAATTTTCATTCAAAAGTTTGACAAACTTCAAGAAAGCATTTTGCACAAGCTGCATGAATTCCTCAGTGTCCTCAGGTGGCTCCGTCTTGGCATATCTCTTCTTCTTCACTTCTGACGATATCACTCCTTTAGCATTAATGTTCTGTTCACAATCGTCAAGAATTTTTCGTTTTGGTAATTTAAACCAAGGAAGTTTCTTCTTAACAATCGGAGCTACCCCCAAGCTCTTTCCTACATTTAGAGCAGGCCCTAAACGCTGCTTTACACTTTGAACCGGGCCCAGTCTGTGCTTTAAATCTCTTTTAGAAGACTTAAAAGGTTTGCTTGAATTCCTTTGCTTTGCTAATGTTAAAAATTTAGATGATAAGGAATTTCGAGAGGTGGCGTTTCCATTAATGCCCATTCCGTCGATCATTATTCCATCAATCCCACCTTGGTACTGTCCCCATCCTGAGTTCTCTAACAATGGCGATTGCTTAGTATCTTCATAAGTCCAATCTCCATCCCCATGAGTTGAATAGGGGATTTCCTCAAAGCCATCAAAGGGACTCAAATCATATGATAACATTATTTTTTTATCATCACTGTCTGTTTCCATATCTAAACTACTTTTTCTCCTGAGTTTAATTTCTGATGCCTCCTCAGGATTGAGCAGCCTTTGGGAATAACTACCAGTAGAACACAATTCTTCGTATGATATAGGTAACCTCTCAAAATCATCTCCATAAGAACCATTACCATCACTACCACCGCCCCCGCCACCATGTCTTTCAAAACCGCACCTTGCTACGTACTGTAGATTTTCAGCATTCAACTTCAAACTCCTGGAATCCTTCTCAACTTCACCAAATGAAGTCTCATTTTCTAATAGTACTCTCCTCTCTTTCATCATATTATCCCTTAAATTATAAATATCAGTTTTTCCTTCAAACTTGTCCACAACTAAGTCAAGGAAGCTATTTTCTTTCTCTCCCACTTCAAATTTTCCTAGAGGTGAAGAAGAGGGATATCCACCATCAATAAGCCCATAATTTCTGCTACTACTATCAGTAGCGTCCATCAGGTGGCTAAAGGAAGTTCTTGATGAGCCCCCACCAGGTGCAGGGCCACCACCACTTTCCACTGTGATGGAGATTGGGACCACATTTGAATCACTAAACGCACCAAGATTGTTTCCTTTTTTATTAGCATTTGGGGTTTTTTCATGTCCCAACAAATTGTTCCATTGGAACTTCGTAAAAGTTGACTCTCTTCCCATTCCTGACAAAGATTCATTAAACCCTGACAGTTTTGGCCACTGCCTATCTCTCTCTTCACTATACTCACCTCGTTGAACTAAACCCATCTCAACATACCGGCCCGTTTCGGACCGAACCGGATCATTCGTCCGGTTCAAACACGAAAAACACCGGTTTCCTCCTATTCCTAATTTTTCGCTTTCCGGATTTCTCACGGGAGGTGGAGACCAAGTTCTGTAGTCGCCGCCATACAAATTTTTTTCTTCGATTCTAGAAAACACTCCATACCGATCATCATGTTCGGGCCGAGCCGAACAAAGAGACCGATACGAATGGGGGAGCTGCCAGTTTTCTCGAATTCCAGTGTCTCTACCAGACATCTCGGCTGCGGCGGAGACCCGGGTCTAAACTCGTCATGTAATCGCTCTCTTATTGTTCATTAACGCAAAGAAACAAAAGTAAATGGAAACCCTAGGAATTATCAGTGTCAACGATTTTTAGAGCAAGATTTCAGACCTGCATTGTAGATTGAGGGTCAGGTTAGTGGTTTTCTAGGCAACAATGGCTTTTTCTGATAGTACTTTTAACTGTAGAATATCGGTTTTGATTTTAAGGTTTAAGGGTTTATATTTGCTGTTTGGTCTGTGCCTTTCTTCTTCGTTGTCGATTTCTTTTGAAGGTTTGCATTTTAGTTAGAGAGCGGAGTACAGTTCGGCTTATAAAGAAAGAGGTATGATCAGGTGTGAATATTACCTGTGGACGTGACCATGCGTACATGCCTGATTGGGTATTTCACTAATGGTTAGAGCATATGTTTATTCATTTATTATAAATAAAGTTAATCTTTTTCAAACATGCGTTGCATGTCTTTGTGTTCCGATAATTATTTTTTATTTTTTTTATTTTATATAATATTATTATTTTTAAAATCTAATTTTAATTATCACAACTAAATTTATTATTACTTTTCTAAGTTTTCGATAATAAATTTAATTGATTTAATAATTGATTGTCTTAATAATTGTTTTTATTTACACATATACGTATTTTTTCCGTTATTGTTATTCGTTTTCCTCACTTATTATAAAAAATTTAATTATATGCTCATAAAAGTTAATTTTGTTTTCTAACACGTAATGTTGTTGGTTTTAGAATTTTCTTTTTATCTCGCAACCAAGCAATTTTTTATAGCTATAAAAAATTAAAAATATATTTTCTTACAAAATTTTAATTTTGATATAATTGATTTGTTTATGTTTATCCAATGATGTATACTCTCCTGAGAATAGAAGTGTTCATTAAACCGTTTACACCGCCTAAACCGATTCAAATCAACTCAAATCTATCTAAAATTACGATTTTAAAATATTGATAATTTGATTTGATTTGATTTTATAACATTTAAAAATCGAGTTTTTGGTTCGGTTTATGGTTTTTAAAGTCAAAATCGAACCAAACCATTATATATATATTCAATTCAATTTTTTGAATGGAAATTTCCTTTGTATTCATATTGGATAGTAAGTTATGAGATTAGTCATGTTGGATAATAATTGAACAATAATTTCTTATAATTTATTTTATAAAATATTCAGTTGTTAAAAAGTTATATAAAATTAGATTAATATATTTATATAAATTGTATTTATATAAAACCAGTGTTCTGAGAACTAGGCCGGTCAATGAATCGGTGAAGGTAGGATTCGCTGAACTGCAGAGTTTAACCGGGTTTAATACGGTTCAACCAGATTTTTATATATAATATTTTTAAATTTAAAATAATTTATTAAATATAAAATAAATATTAAATATATTTATTAAATAAAATAAAAATATATAGGTTAAAAAACCTTTGATATCAAATAGAAAATAGTTTCAAATTTGACTTTTACAAAAAAAATAATAAATTAATAAATAATTTAAACCAAAAGAATAAAATATGACTAAATTTAATACTAAAAAAAATTAATTAGTTACAATAAATTATATTATTATTTTTCACATGTGTCTTTAAAATTAGGCAATTTAATTATTTTAATTAATATATTAGTACTTGGGGTTTAGAAACAAATAGGTCCAAGAACTAAAATATTAGTAAGAGCCTCAAATTTTAAAAAGGCCCACATTTTATGGGAAAAATCCAGATTTTGAATCGAACCAATTTTTAGCCTGTCCGATCATCGGTTTTAGCGGGTCTGATTCATCGATTTTTAGCCGATTTTTGGCCATTTTCACCAGGTCAATCTAGTTTTATGACCAGCAATTTTTTTATGCAACTCGGACCGGACCACAGTTCGATTCCTAGTTAAATCGGTCGAATTGACCGATCTGGTCCGATTTTCAGAACAATGTGTAAAACTATACTTTTTATAATTTTTAGTAATGAATGTAATTAAATCAAAATTTAAATTCTATATTTATAATTTTCTTAATTATTATTTTACTAAATCTATAATATTTTTATACTATACTAAGAATATAAATAAAAAAATTAATTTAAAAACTTTTAATACCTATTCAAAATCATGTGTATTTTATGACATATTTTTTATTAATTAATTTTTTATATTTAATATAATGTTAATCTTTTTTTTTTGTCTTATTAACTATATGAATGAGGAAGTTTAATTCCTCTAATTTTAAACCGCACAAACCGTCTAACCGAACCAAATAAACCAAACTGCCACTAAAGGTTTGGTTTGATTTGAAATTTTTATGCTTGGTTTCGATTAATTTTTTTCAAACTGTCACTTTAAGTTTGATTCAATTATTATATTCAAACGGACCCAAACCAATCCACGAATAATCCTACCCGATAGTTGAATTTGTTAGTTTTTAAATTTTTACAATAATTAATAAAATAATTGAATTATCTCAATTTTAGAAAAAAAATAACGATAATAGATTAATTTACCTCTTCAATTAAAATAGAAAATAATGGAAGTGGATAGCATCCTATGACAAAACTTACTTATGATATTAGATAATTTAAAATTTAAAATCATTGTTATTGAGAGAACTTATCCTGATGTTGAAACTTCATTCAAGCTGATTTATTGTCCTGTATTTTGTAGAATTCTGGATTTGGAAAATTTGTCAATTCTTTATTGACATCAAAGAAATAAGCAAGGCATTCAATATTCCAATAGCTTATGCTAAATTACCATTTACTTCATAATAATGATCGAAAATGTTAAAGATTGATTTGATATGTAGAAAAATATTTATAAAAGGAATATTCACGAACGAAATTAGTATGTGGAGATATTCGTAAGAAAATAAAAAAAAAATTGAAGAAAATGCTAATTATATGCATAAAGAGATTTATTATATTTTGTAGAGGATGCCTAAAGAGATTTCATGTGAATATATATATTTGTAAATATTCATTGTGTATATTTGCTTCAATAAGGATTAATCCATGGACTTATATGATAATTAAAATTGTGTAATATAATAACCTTTATTTTTTCAAGTAATAAAATTAAAATCTTTCAAAATAATTTTGTCATGCGTAAACTTAGTAGGGGTTTATATAATAACTAAATCATTTCTATTTAGATAGGAAAACTAATAATCAATTAAAATTAAATTATCTTTATTTTTTCAATCAGTATACTCCCTCCATTCTATTTAGATATGAAAAGTTTCGATTTTGGGTGTTTTATTTGGATAGAAAAAATTATCTCATTTGGTAATTTTGGAACCAATGCCAATTTAAAAAGACTGTTTTACCCTTATTTAGTTTACGAAAAAAGCTTTAATAATGAGAGAATAACAAGATAGCGGCGGACAAAGACTTGTAAGTGCATTTAGTTAGATTATTTGACCAAAAATCATCCCTTGATGAATAAACGTGGACGAGCACTAAAATGAACAGGATAACAATTTTGAACAAAATATAATCAATTTGTTCCTGACACACAAGAAACTCATAGTGAGCAAGAAAGAACTGACCAAGTGCTGGATTTGTTAATGCATTTTTGATTTTTTGTTCTCTTTTTGTTTTTATGTATGTTTAAGTTATTGTCATTTCGAAATATTAACCCAAAAAGGGCGCTCTTACAAAATCTGGGAACAACTTTATATCAACAATGGATAAATGCGACTGTAGTCATAAATATGTGGATATATGTTAGTAGGAAGTACAAAGTACTGAAAATATGCGAGCATATTATACAAATAAGCACATAAATGTATCAATAAAGTACATCACAAATAATAAAATTATGGACATATTCTAAGAAACTAATGTACTAAACATCAATCTATGAACAAAATTTGCAAATGGATATCGTACTGTTGTTGCTACTTCCTTAACAATTTCAAAATCTACTTCAATCACAAAAGGCAAATTCTCACTTTTAATTAAGTTGTTCTTGGACATACGTTGGTTTTATATGTGCAGGCTCTTTGTTAACAAAAGGCCAAATGTCAATTTTACCATCAAAGATAAGTTGACCATTTTTGCAAAACTAGGTCTACTAATTGTTGCTAAAAATATAATCTTTGAGATGAAGTGCTTGCTTTTGCATTGGTGCAAAGGCTCCTCCTCATTGGTGCAAGGTAAAACCTTTGTGTTTCTTTGCACATATAAAACTATTTTTCATCAATTTTAATAATGTTTCATATTCTGAAATGATAATTTGTTGTTAATAGTACCTATATCGAGCGTGGATAAACAAAATTGTACTTTGATTTACATTTCTCATCCTTTAATAGTGGCATGATTGCGTTAGAATGTGCCTTGATTTTTTCATTTTTAATGAATCTGTGCACACATGAAACTGGATGCCCCAGTTCATGTGATAATGAGCGAATGGTGGTTCTTCTCCTTAGAGGTATTTATTTTTCCTTCCTTTCAGGAGCAATCTCAACTCGTTTCTTCCCTCTATTGTAAGGACATTTCACTCCCATATTATCTTCTGATTCGTCCTTGGCTGTGTACCAAATCCCGTACACTGAATTCATAGAAATTGAAAAACTATCTACAACTTGTTGAATGTTGCGACCATTTTGCACACCCTTTTCCAGGTTATCAAATAAAATCTACTAACTTGATTTTGAACTCCTTGGCTAATGTTTTGACGTTTGTTTCCTTTTCTTGTTAAATCTATAACATTGTTAGAGGATTTTATGATATGATTGTCTACAAACTTGAGTTGTTCTTCAGTTGGTAGAGAATTAAAATGGAAGGATAAGTTGGGTAATATGGCCACAACTTCTTCCTTTGCAGACGAGTTTGCAAGATTAGTATTTAGATCAAGCTGAATTTGTTGGTTTGTTTTTAATCTCTGGATAAAGTGTTTGGAATGATGAGCTTTTCTCATTTTATATTCGATGCATAGTGAAAGCTAAGGGGACGCTATATTTGTTTGGTGGCAAATGACGCTCAAATAGGCATAACAAGCACACAAATATTCTTTACCAGTAGGGTATGAATTTTTAAGTGGAAAATTCAAATTTAATGAAAATTTTGTTTAACTAACACATAATACATTCCAAAATATATTCAAATTTTCATTTTCAGTTATGAATGGATAAATTGACGCCAAATCGCTCCTTGGAGTATACAATTTGAAATTAATGCACTCAGTTTCTCTTTCATCTATATATGACCTTATATAGAAATATGGTTAGGAGTTAATGTTATATTGGGGGCATATTAAGAAAAAATAGTCAAAAATAACAGTTTAACTATCACATTAATCTTTGTGCAAATTCAACTTTTCTTATATAACTAGAACGGAGGAAATAATTAAAATCTTTTAAAATATTTTTATCAATCCATAAACTTAATAGGGGCATTTTAAAAATTTAATATTTCCTCGCTCGTAATTTTATAAATATTATAGAGATAAGAAAAAAATATGAAAAATTAAAGTCATATTCCGCAAGAGTTTTTGAGATCGGTAACATAACATACTTTTAGAGTTTAAGAGAGTTTTAACGAAATGTTAAACAGTCTAACGTTTAACATTTCACAGAAATTAATTAATTTTTTAATAAGCATACCCATTCTTTTCCCTCGAATTCAACTAATTAAACAATTTATGTCCTTTTTTTCTCATTTGAAGTTAAATAACTATTTTTATCGAATATTTCTAATTGAAACCGTTTCATAAACAGCTACCAGCTAAATAGAATAACTAACAACTACAACAATAGCTATTAAAACAATTAATATTGTCAAACAATCTTAAAACCCTAAGTAGTGATGATAGGGTTAAAGGTAAGAGGTGAAAGTTTGTAGAAATTTAAGAGGGAACTATACTTAAAAATTAAGGGGCTAAAATACAAATGGAAAAAAAAGAATTGAAGGCAACATAAAATTTAATTTTCCAATTGTATTATAAAATATTTATTTAGAAATTAAAATTATTTAAGGATAATAAAGTCTTACTCTGTCGGTGGCGAATGTGATTATCAATGAAAAATTTCATTGTTAAGCAATTAGAATCTATCAGAGAATTATTGTGCAAACTGGTTACTGATGGAAAATATTTGTAGATCAAAAGATTGTTGATAAATGAAAAATATATTCTAGATTTAGTTGTCATTGATTTGATGATAAAGTGTTAATTTTCTACCTGTGATTTGTCAGAATATTTACCAAAATATTTTATCACTATGTTATTATCTATTGGTAGTACGTTGGACTATTTTCAAAAATCTTTTTAAAAGTATTACTTTCTATCAATAATTAATTAGCAGTTTTTTTTTTTTTTTTTTTTTTTTTGCAGTTTTTTTTTTTTTTTTGTTTTATATATATATACTTTCGTCAATAATCAGTTACTAAATTAATTTAGAAATAAAAATATTTTTAATTTTTTTTAAATCGTTAAACCTGTAAAAAACAACCACTTTAATAGTCATATTTAATCTTTTCGCAAGGATTAAACAAATGATTGGAACCCATTTATTTTTTAAAAATATATAGTAGAATGTCTAAATTGCCTTTCTTAAAATTAAAAGCTACCCATTTAATTTTGTTACAAAATACCTAATAAATATGGATAAAATTGAAAAAAATAATCCATTCATAGTTTTATAAATATTATATATATAAGAGAAAATATGAAAATTAAAGTCATAGTCCGCAAGGGTTTTAGAGCTTGATAACATAACATAACTTTTAGAGTTTGAGAGAGTTTTTATGAAAGGCTAAACACTCAAACGTTTAAGGTTTCATAGAGATTAATTAATCTTTTTAACAACCATATCCGTTATTTTTCTCTCGAATTCAACTAATTAAACAACTAATGTAATAGAAGGGCTAAAACAACAAAGATATTGCCATTGGAACAGTCGACATCTTCATTGATTCAGTCACTCCCTTCATCTCAACTCCCCATTAAACTTATAGGCAATGGTAATTTTGCAACTTGGAAAGCACAAGTCACATTTAATCACAACCTCTGCTGCTCCCATATAGCCTCCATTTACAACTTTCCTGACAGCTACAATCAACTTTTTTTAGCTTCACTTTTGTCCATTTTACATTAAAACCCTTGAGTAATGGAAACTTTCTCACAGCCATCTATAATTGTTCTTTACTTGTAAAGATCATGCAAACACTAAATTGCAGTACTTTATGATCACATGCAGGATTATAAACATTTTCTCTGTTTTTTTTTTTCCTCTTAGTTAGAAACCTGCATATCTCCTTCGCTACCGTAAGTGCTTGAATAGCTGCATCATATCGCACACCTTCTTCAGTTGTTGGTTTATTAATTATGGGTCTTAGCTATGTAATACCAGGTAGTCCATCTAGCCCTAAATTAAGACCATAATCAACTATTACACTTTTTGGCTTCTTTTTATTCTCCTCAGCAATCACATATTCCTTATTATCATTATCAGATAATGCTATTGAACCCACATCAATATCTTCTTCTTCATTTGGACAGTCAGCAGCATTAGCTTCTATGTTAAAATTAAAAAACTCATCAGTGTGTCCCATTATTTGAAGTAAAACCTATTGCACATGCAACTCTTATTGATCATTATGCTGTGGAACTACTTCTTCTTGATCTTCCACTTCAACTACAACAACATTTTCTTCATCTAAATCCTCATCTACTAGAAAGCCCCCACTCCATGGCTTGCATATGCCATTCAGTCTCATCCCAGTTCCTGCAACCACTGAATTGGATTCGTCATCAAAAGAAACACAAATTTATGTTCCTTATCCTTGTTCTCCTCTGCGTGGGTGTCTATATCGATGTACACCTCAACACATTGTATTCTTTCCCTCTTGCAAATATGATTTTAATGTCTTCATCATTCTTATAAATCTCAATCTCATGGCTTCTCTATTCTTCCCTTGGTTTATAATAACCAAATAGTCTACAATTCACCATATCCTATCTCCCTTATAGTATTAGCAAAGTCGAAATATGTCGTACCCTGAGAGTAACTTTGAGTTTTCCACTCTTGAATAACCCCTCCACTAATTTTGTTTATTTTCTTATACTTGCTCATTTTACCTTCAATCCATATCTCAAGTGGGAAGCTGTTCAATAAAGGTATTTAAGTAAGACTCATCAACATTCAACACAAGTAGAAAATTTTAATACCCACTACAACCTCCAAAAACTGTCGTGTACTGCGAAAGAGAAACTTTTTTTTTTTGGCAATTGTTAGGTATGCAGTTCATTTAATAGCTCCCATAGCAACTTAATAGTTCCTACGACATTACTTTCTAACCTATTTAAATATTAAAATATTTCTCATTACCATAGAAAATAATTATTTAATGGAAAAATCCTATCAATTAGATCTATTTTTTATCAAACATTAGCATACCCTACAACACCCACAACATGTTATGCTATAAAAATCTATAATAAAGTTCATTTCTTTATGTGAGACTTACAAATCTCTTGTCTTTTTATTGCCCTTGCCATTTCTGGCTTGTGTAACCTAGATGGAGCGTCAATATAATTCAGGCCTCGAGGAGATAGGAAATGTGAGCTGCCTTTGTTGAAAACAAAAGGAAAAAAAAAAAAAAGTTTAGCTCAATCCCACATCGGGGAGATGAGCTTTTGAGGGTGTTTTTGAGGTGTTTGAATTGCTATAAAAGGAAGCCAATGTAAAAGGAAGCCAATGTTTAGGTTTCTAAACACACCAAAACACACCAAAAACATTTGAATGTGTTTTATATTAGGGATTTCAAGCAAATCTTTTGGAGTCCTTTAGAGTATAAAATATTTGGGGTGTTTTTGAGGGTGTCGGGTAGAAAAATATTTTGTAACTGTGGTTGTAACAATTTGCCACATAGTAAATATTTTTCTTAGTTGTCGTTTGGCAACGGCCGTTGTTTTTCTCTACTTGGGGAGTTTTGGAGTGAGAAATATGATGGGTTATGCATTGTTTAGATAGAGAAGAAGGGAGATGGAGTTTGCGTGAGATATTGTGGAAACAATGGAGTTGCATCTGAGATACTGTTACAGGTAAGGTTTCACATTGAAACGAAACGTACCATTTTGATTTAACCAAGGTAGGTTAAATTTAACACACCTAGGCTGATGGGTCCCAATTTAGCTTTTTTTTTTTTTTTTTTTTTTTTTTTTTTTTTTTTTTTTTGAATTTGGGGTTCAATTATAATAGAAGTATGAATTCAATAACTTATTATCATTTTTATTATATTCCTAAAAAAAAATAAGCATATATAAAAACCAAAAAAAAAAAAAAGTAATTATAACCATTTGTAATGTGCAAAGCAGGTTGTGAAATGCTAGTAATTATAAGCTAAGATACAAGGACACCTTAAAAGGTTCAACATAACTATGTAAGCACCTATGTTGGACATTGACCCTTTCAAACACTACCGAACATGTAGAAGATATTTTAAAAACTGTGTTCTATTATTTCTTTTATTTTATTAATTTCAAAAATTTTAAGGATATCTTTGAGGACACTTTGATGATGCTTCTAAAGATATTTTACAGATACATTTGACAATTAAAATGTGCAGTATCATTAGAAATTAATTTGATTTCTTTTAAAAATGTTACAATTCTTTAAATTGTCAATTTTTCTCTAAATAAGCTAGAAATGTTATGATTTTCAATTAATTGTGAGAATTTAACTAATTATATTGAATATGAAGTTAAGTATTTTTTTATTTTATATTTATGATTTACTATAAACTAAGTGGACGCTTTATTATTGACATTATATTAAATGTTACTTTTTTTATTATACATAGAAAATTAAATATTTATAGAAAAATAAATCCTACAACTTCAAAGAAATAAAAAGAAGCAATTATATATATATAAACTAAAGTAGGATAAATGAATACAATATAAAAGCCTTAGACAATAAGCATTAGCCTTTTTTTTTTTTTTTTTTTTTTTTTTTTTTTTTGTAGAATTATAAATTTAAAAGACATATAGAAAAAATTTCATTTATAAATAAAGATATGTAGATGTAAAAATAGATAAATATCTATACTATATATAAATGTGAGAATAGATAAGTATCTTAATGAAATTTAGAATGTGCTAAAATAATTTTCGTCATGGCCATTTAGAAAATTACATTTTATTAATTGATTTGATATAATTTATTAAAATTCTTTTTTAAATGAATACATGTAGATAATTAAGCATTTCAAATTTTAAGTTTTATCCTTTTTAAATTTATTTTTAATAAATGTATGCTAATAAGACGTTTAAAAATTTTTATATTTATTTTTAAATATTTGATTCTATTTTAATTATAAGTTAAATATTTTTTTAGAGAGAAATAAAAAAAGAAAAAAGTATATTCTTTTTTCATTATATTTGTATATTTGATTGTATTTATTTTTAAAAATAAAATTTCAAATAGAATAATTTCAAATAGAATAGACATAATATTTTACTTAGGAGAGAGATAAAAAAGAAAAAAGTATATTATTTTTATTAATAATTTTTTATCTATGTTTGTACGATATGATTGAATACATTTTTTAAAAAATAAAATTTTAAATAAAATATACATAATTAAACCTTTCAAAATTTTTAAATTTTTGCTTTTAAAAATTTACTTTAAATAAGATGAATATATGTATGTGTGGAATTAATGAACAATTTCAAATTTCAAATTTTAATTTTAAAATTATATATTATATTTTATTGCTATATTTATTATATATCTATATGTATTGAAACTTTTTGTTATTTGCATTTTGAAAATATTTTTATTCTTAATAAAAAAAATTTTTATTGTCTTTTTCTTTAATAAATAATTTGTAACTATTATCATTTTTAAGCATTTCAAAATTGTAATATACATTGAAACTTTTTTGTCATTTGAGTTTTGAAAATGTTTTTATTTTTAATAACAATTTTTTATTTTTTTATTTTCATTTTCTTTAATAAATAATTTACAACTTTTATCATTTTTAAGCATTTTAAAATTGTAAGTTTTATCTTTTAAATTTTTTTTTAATAAATATATATAATAAGGAGACATTTTAATATTTTATTTTTTAAATATATTATTCTCTTTTAATATAATTTAAAATATTTTTATTATGGAGAGAAATAAAAAAGAAAAAGATATATTCTTTTTTATTAATATTTTCTTTATATTTATATAATTTGACTGGATATATTTTTTTAAAAATAAATTTTCAGATAGAATATATATATATTTTATTTAGGAGAGAGATTTAAAAAAAAGGAAAATATTATTATTAAATGGATATATTTTTTTAAAAATAAATTTTCAGATAGAATATATATAATATTTTATTTAGGAGAGAGATAAAAAAAAGGAAAATATTTTTATTAAAATTTTTTCTTCATATGTATAATTTGATCAAGTATATTTTCAAAAAAAAATAAATTCATAAATAGAATACACATAATTATTTTTATTAAATTTTTAATTTTTAAATTAATTTTAAATAAAATGAACATGAAATAACCCGAAAATAAGATTGCGTAGATTTTTCATTTAAAGACTTAAATTTTTAATTTTGACCAATGGGATTATAAAGTGAAATTCAAAGGGAAATATTTATTTATTTTTAAATCGGACCCATAAATCAGTTTAAAACTTTCAAATCAGATAAAAAACTTATAAATCAGATAAAAACCAGAATAAACCTTTGATTTGGACCAAATCCAGTTCGAATCGAACCGGATCAGCCTAGAGAAGCATAGAAACATCTTTTTTGTCCCTCCTGTTCTTTTCTTTCTCTTCTTCTTCTTCATTCCAGTGCCGCTCAACCCTTCTCTCTCTGTCTTCGTTTTCCAGTCACCTGAGACAGGTCCAGCGGACTTCCTTCATGCCGCTACCACTTCCCGGCTTTTCCCTCATCTTTTTTTTCGTTTACGGTGAACGCAGTAAGCAGAGGAGCTGCGATCTTGTCTCCGATCAGACAGCTCTGCCTTCATCTCTTCGGCGATTTCACAGCGTTTCTGGCAGTTCTAGTGTTGAGGATGGGTACCGATCGATTTCTTTCCTCCCTGCGAGCATTTATCCTCTGAAAATCGTGAGGTTTATGACCGATTTGTAAAACCACCATGAACAGCAGATCTAAGCTTCTGTCGAGCTCGTTCCGACCATTTGGACGGATGATCTCGCCCAACCAACACCAAAAATGGACTCCTCGATGAAATTTGAGACAGATGGTGTGAAGAGCGCACGATTCCGAGCAGTCGAGACTTTCCGGCCATCGTGACGGCGGCATATGCCGCCCGGTGAGTCTCCAGCGAGACCCGGGGAGGTAGAAATTTAGGATCTATGCATTGAACCCAAATCCAAAATCCAGATTTTTAATCAGTATAATTTAAGACTTAATTTGATAAATTTAATGTATAATTTCAAGTTCAAAAATTATTGCTATTGGATTAGAATAATTTTGATTAAATTAATTAAGGATTAAGAATGAAATAAGGATTATTAGTAAATATAATTAACACCATATAAATAAACTGAGAATTTTGACATATATGAATTTATAAAATGAATTTTAGATAAATTAGGTAAAACGTATAATATAGATGTTCTTGAGAAGTATATGATTAAAGGAAGAAGAATTGAAAGTGTAATTAAATTATTTTGAAAATCAGAGTTATAATATATGAATTAAAATGATAAGTTACAAGAAGTATTAGTTTTAGTAGCCGGTCTCGAATTTTACTAAAGGATATTATGTTTTGAATAGAAATATTTAAATAAAAAATTGTTATATATTTACGGATATCAAATATTTATTTTTTGGTAACTAATTAAGAAAGTAGATCATATTCAGATAAAGTAGAGATGTATAAAAATTATTGGAATTAGATAAATGATATTTTAATCTATAAACTAAAAGTTAATTATAAATCTATTGGAATTATTGATTGTCCGATGAATGGACTATGTGAAAAATAATCAATAAGTATATTAAGTCGTTAATATTTGAATTAGTGGAAAGGTCATATCTTAGGAGGAACACTGCTAGAAATATTATTTGATAAATGCAGCTAGAAATAAGTATATTATCCTTAATTTCTTATTTAAGGATAATCATCTATTTAATGAAGTCTTTCCTTTATGTGTTATTACTGTGAGTTATAATAAATTGTGTATACCATAATATGCATATATGCATTATTCACCTTATACTATCTAAATATATTCAACACTTAGCTCTTATCTTCATATATTAATATAATATCACTAAAATATAATTACTATTATCGTTATCTATTATATAAGTACAATATTACGACCATACAAATGTTATATAATCATATACTCATGATTACACTCATGTGCTGTATATTAATTATTAATGTGATTTATTATATTGAATGAATTGTTTGGATTACTTTTGATGTGATAATACTATGCTTTGCTTGTGTATAAAGTTGGAATGAAATGGGTTGAAACACAAAACCACAAGATAGCCTCTCATTGTTAATGAAAAAGGAAAAAAGGATAGAAAAACAATGTGAAGAATAGTCAAGTGAGAATAAACCAGTTGGCTGTATGGTGGATCGGCTTCTCGACTTATATTTGGGTGATGAGCTCCTCGTTCTGTAATGGGGATAGACTCCTCGTGCCCCAATAGAGGGATGGGCTCCTCTATTGTAAAACATAATTAACGGATTCCTTGTGAAATGAGAAAAACAATAATGCCATTGACCAATCTCTATTTGATGTAATTGTTTGAATGTGATATCATTTGTGGTTGATGATGATGTGTCATGCGCTTGGTTGAACGAATGCTCACTATATAAAGTTGAAAAACATTTTGCGTGGCTGTTTGGGGTTATACATTATTTATTATTATTCACTGAGTTTGTGAAACTCACATCTTCCTTAAATTTTTCCTAAGAGATAGACAATGTGCTAGTTCAAATAAACTCTGCTTCCTTCTCCGCAGAGTTACACTAGTAATTTTTCAGTTTTGATAATAGTTGAATGTATAGTAACATGTATAAAAATGTATTTGCATCTAGTTATTGAGCTCCACAGTTGAGGAGTCTTGTTTTACAATTTATCATGTAAAAATTATTAGCATGTAGTTCAATAAATTTGAAGATTTTCTAATTGACTCTGTAGAAGTGCAAATGGACTAGTTTGCCCATGCTATGATGATGAGGAAAAGTTATAGGCCCGAGCTATGAATTATTTGAAATGTGGAAGCTGAGCCAGAGATATAAATTGACCATATGATATTGGTGAACCTGCGGATCCATTTGCAACGCCTTTAGAGATATTGCTTGAATGGTTAAAAATGTCACATTATGGACTTATTATTCCTAAAAATTGGTTTAAAGGATTGGATTAAATATATAAGATTTTATTAATATATTTATATATTTATAAATATATAATTTTCGAATTTTCTCAAAGAGTTTTATTTTTAATAATATTTTTTTTTTCGTTACTGAATAATTTGTTACTATTATCATTTTAATTTAATAAAATATTTTCATCTCCCTTGGAATAAATAGATGAGCTTTTGATGATTAAGCATTTTTAATTTTATTGATATTTTTTTTTCTTATATTCTAAATCTGTTTAACTTGAAAGAAAATAGAAAATATTGTTTAGAAAACTGGAAAAAAACTAAAAATATACATTTTTGTTTTGGGTCACTTTTTAAGGTTCAAGAAATTATATGTATGTGCATATATTATTTTCTCTAATATATTGGGTAAGTAATACTGCCATTGTAGTCAAAATGATTACCATTATCAATTTAATTTGAGACCACTTTATTATATAAAAATGAAATTAAGTATATAAGAATTACCATTACAAAAAGCTTGTACGGCAAAGTGGAAAACAAATTAACTACTCGTATTTATTTTAATTTAAACAAAAATTTATACTTTAATATTAAATAGATAAAAAATTAAAAGAGTACAAAAAATTAGTATATAACGAGTATAGTCAACATGCAACGCATGTTATAAAAAAGACTAATTATAAATAAATTGACACAAAAAATTAAACAATCCAATCTAAAACTAAAAAAAAAATTAAATATTCAAATATAAATACAAATATAGTTAATTATTTTAAATAAATAGTAATTTTTAAACTTAAAAAGCATGTTAAATGATCTAATAAAAAAGAAAAAATAAAAATACAAAACTAAAATATAGATAATTATTGTAAATGAATATTTGAATCTAATAAAAAAGAAAAAAATAAAAAAATAACAAAACATAAAATATAGATAATTATTGTAAAATGAATATTAATGTAAAATATAATTATTACGATATAAATTGGATTTAATAAAATTTAAATGATAAGAATATTATTTTAACTATTGATGTTATTTTCTCTTTTAAATAAATGATAAGAATATTATTTTAACTATGAGGTATTTTTCCCTTTAAATCAATAACCTAAATCTTCACTTTGATATATATACAATTTTAATTAAAGAGATTTCTCTTTGATGTAAATGGAATAATAATAATAATAATAAAATAAATACTTGAATTATATACAACATAGTGACTCAGCAATTAGAGAATTCAAAAAAATTATTATTATTATAAATAATAATTAATGAATTAAAATAATTATAAATAATTAAAAAAATATACATGAATATGAAGCAATGAATAAAAAGAGTTGTAGTTTTCTACGATTTGCTAAAAATATAATAAATTTTAAAAAATACATAAATGAATTTATAGTTACCTTCTCTTTACTCTTTATTTTTATCAACATGATATTTCTCATACCTCCAGGTATACATGAATTTTACACACACGATTCGTGATAGATAATAAAAAAAATATTATTAAAGAGAAGAGAAATCGAATTGCAAGATGCACAGAAAAAAGAAGAAGACCATAAAAACTTGCAAAAAAAAAATTGAAAATTAAAAAAGAAAAAAAGAGATCGGAGAGTTAATATTAGAGAACAATCAAAATTCAGAAAATTGAAAAAAAAAAGAAGAAACAACCACTGTTGAACAAAATCATTGAAACTAATTAATGTGGAGGTATACATATATATGTAGATAGATAAGAAAAAAATTTAAAAATTCTAAAATTTTAATTTCAAAAAATCAAAAGAATTCAAAAGTTTTAATTTTAAAATTTAAATATTTTAAATTATTAATTATTTAAAATTTTAGATATAGGTATATATTAGATTAGATAGCTATAGGAAAACAAATATTTAAAAATTAAAAAATTTATAAAACAAGAAAGAAATATTGAAAGAATGGTGTCCCACGTAAGCTTTTTAAAAATTTTCTTTTACTTCAAGATTATATATATATATATATATTGTTTATATTTATTTAATTATTAATTATTAATAAATTATACTTATTTAGTATAACATGTTCTAAACGTGTAAGTGTTATACTTTTTTAAAAATTATTATATCTGACGCAAAACGGTTACGTGAATGGGAATAACGATTATACTCCGTCAGGAGTTTTGATCAATGACGTTTGATTTGATGAAAGAATTAGGGAATTAAACTCTCAAGGAAGTTTATTGAATATGAATAATGATCACAGATTAATGAATGTGCCAAAGATACAAAAATAACCTATTTATAGGTTAGGCTAGAGCAGAAAAACCCTAAAAAAATAATACAAAAGTCGTAACTAGACAAAACCCTAGTAAGGGTGGCAGCACGAGCGTGCTGGACATGACACGGGCGTGTCCTGGATTTCCAGAGGCTGGCACGGGGCGTGATGGAAGTGACACGGGCGTGTCTATGTGCGAATTGTAGTTGGACCTGTTGGCACGGGCGTGCTGTACATGGCACAAGCGTGCTCTGGACTTCCAGAGGCTAGCACAGGCGTGCCTGTGCTCTATAAGTTCGAGCGTGTATCGTGTCCTGGATTTTCAGAAGCTGGCATTGGTGTGTTGGATATGGCACGGCTGTGCCCCTTCTTCTTGGGTTTGCAGTGATCCAAATCTTCCATATATTGAAGTGCAAGTTGCTCCACATCAATCCCCCCACTTCAAAAGAACTCGACCTCGAGTGATCATCATTGGGATAGAAAAGGAATAAATCAGCAACATTGAAGGTCTAGGAGATCTTCATGTCTTCGGGCAGGTCAAGCACATAGGCATTATCATTGATCTTCTTAAGCACCTGAAGGGGCCAATCTTTTTAGCATCAAGATTCTTCTGTCCTCTGCCACACACCTTGTGAAGATAAACGATGACCCAATCACCCATGGTAAAAGATTTATGACGCCGATGTTTATCAGCTGCAACTTTATATTTTTCATTGGCAGCAGTGATGAATTGATGCACTTGCTTAAATACCTCCACATGCTCGATCGCCAAGTTATTAGCTGCAATACTCTTCTCTACGCCTGCTAGAAGGGAAGTGAGATCATGAGTATGGGTTGGTACCTTTCGGT